CACCGCGTGTTTGTCCATTACATCGGATGGTTTGTTGTGCTTTGAGGAGAGTTATCATCCCACCGACTCAGCGAACGACTGTTCTGGCAGATTTGCACTCTGGTCATCTGGGTGCCCAGTAAACACGTCACCGCGGTACCACCGGTGGTACAGAAGGCTTTTATGCAACAAATGCTATGTTTGGCTTGTATTTGCCAACGGAATCAGTAGTAAAGATAGCCACCTTTGGCCACCGCTGGCATTGTGTTTACTGGGTGTTGATAAAATGAAATATCTTGCACGCGTCACGCTGGTGGCCGGAACTGTATGCTGACATCAACCGCACTGCTAAGATTTATTAGCTTACTATATTTTTAAGGGCGGTTCCAGAATTTCAACCCCTCAATATGGACTACTCATCTTCACTGTTAACCGCTCTACATCCCGCCTTCAGTTCTCTAAAATATCCGGCATTAATGAGTGTCAATGTGTAGCAAATGATTAGCGAAGGTTTTCCGTTGATTATAACTTTGAGTTGTGTACATTAGTCTGCATACTTCCGGTGGAGAGATAAGTACCGCTGTATGGTGAGATTTCGGTCAGGACCCAAATCATGCCAATACATTGATCTAGTTTGGGAGTTTTCTATTTGTGCACGCAAGCAGCCGCACATATAAATACCAAATATTCCGGGAGTCAAAGCCAACTCCAAGTAAGTTGTAGGGATTTTCATGGACATTTTCTACGCGCAAACGAAAATTTGAACGCGCGCGGTACAAGGGTCAGGTTGACGGGGCAAGCCAGTCTACTGCAGCGAGTCAGATTCACGCGTATGACGTCAAGCCGGATGCGAAATGTTCGTTCAGATTGTTATCCGAGGATTGAAGTGCCACACATGAATTCAAGACACCAAAGTAGAGTATTCAAGGTTTACAAATTCAGCCTTCTGTTTTTACGGATTCACGGATTTTTCCTTCAAGCCGCGTTCCAACACCCCTTTAAACACCCCGGCCAGTCAGTAACGGCGACGACTGTCTGTGACCCTCCTCGCACCAGTCGCCTATTCCGCATCACCGATCGCTCAAGTAATCTACGTTTCCTGTTAGATACGGGAGCTGAAGTTAGTGTGCTACCACATAAGAATCCGCTTCCCGATTCTGCTTCTTTCTTTCTCCAAGCCGCTAACGGTACCCGCATCGCTACATGCGGCGAACGTTCCCTCACCTTTAACCTCGGATTGCGACGTGCATTCAAGTGGATCTTCCTTTTGGCCGACGTCCAAACACCCATCGTCGCTGCAGATTTCCTGACCCACTACAACCTATCCGTCGTTCGACGTGCTAACTTCCCTCTCAGTCAACGGAATTAGTGTCCCAACTTCATCCACAGGTATCCGAGATATCTTACCAGATTCACATTTTGTTGACATACTTAGGGACTCTCCAACCATTACTCATCCATGTCAGTACACCCAACCGGTCACTCATTCCGTTGTTCACCACATCCAGACGAGAGGTCCACCTCTCCATACCAAACCCCACCGACTTCATTCGGATAAGCTACAAATCGCAAAACATGAGTTCGAAAACATGCTCGAATTCGGCATTATCCGCCCTTTATCGAGTCATTGATCATCCCCTACATATGGTACCCAAGAAATCTAAAGGTGATTGGAGACCCCGTGGATATTACCGTTCTCTCAACAACGCTACTTTCCTAGACAGGTATCCCGTCCCACATATCCACAATCTCGCCATTACCTTATGCCACACAAGTATCTTCCCCAAACTCAATCACTTTTGAGCATCCTACCACATACCCGTAGCCCCGGATGACATTCCCAAAACAGCCATCACAACACCGCTTGGCCTTTTCGAATTCACGCGCATGCCCTTTGGATTTCGAAACGCAGCTCAGACGTTTCAACGTTTCATGGACGAGGTTTTACGTGGTTTACCCTTTGTGTATGCCTATCTTGACGATGTTTCAATCGCAGGCACCTCCCCAACGGAGCATGCAGCTCATCTCAGGGCAGTATTTGAGCGTCTTTTCACTTACAACATACGTGTTACTAGTCTAGATTTCCTTGTCCACCACATCAACCCCACGGGTATTTCACCATTATCCGATCGCATTTTGGCCCCAGTCTTTTCCCATACCCACCGCTCTCACCCAACTTCGTCGTTTCATAGGTAGCATCAACTACTACCGGCGATTCATTACTCACTGTGCAGATATTTTGGGGCCACTGACCGATTTACTTGGTTCCAAAGAAACATCTAATATTTTGCCCCCTGCCGCCATTGCCGCCTTCGAAAGAGCCAAGCAAGCCATTGCTCAGGGCCAGAATGTATCTTTCCTCGACACTCACGAAAGAACAAAGCTGATTTTGACAACTGATGCTTTGAACGCTGCCGTCGGCGCCGTACTTCATCAAGTTAACAATGCATCTAAACCAATGACCTTTTTCTTGCAGAAGATGCAGGCTGCCCAAACGCGTTACAGTACTTTCGGTCGTGAAGTACTCAAAGGTTACCTTGCTATTCGCCATTTCCGGCACCTGTTAGAAGGCAGAGCGTTTACCATTCAAGCCGACCATAAGCCATTCACGTATGCCTTTAACACCATGCCTAATCGATATTCACCATGCGAGATACGCAACCTTGACTACATTTCACAGTTCACTACTGACATTCGGTACGCTCCAGGTTCGGACAATATCGTCGCAGGTGCAATATCCCGTCTTGACATCAATGCTCTTCACCCCTCCACGCAGTTGGACCTAGCCAAGCTGGCGAACATTCAAAATAGTGCTCCTAATTTTTTGCCCATTCTATCGTTCCCTTCATTTCAAGTCTCTTCAATTCCGTTACCCCTCCAATCCGGCACCACTTTTGTGATGTCTACCGGATCAGCTCGCCCAATCGTCCCCGAAGCTTTTCGACGCGTTGTTTTTGACCATTTTCATGGATTTTCTCATCCAGGAATCAGAGCAACCAGGAAGTTGATTGGTGCACGCTTTGTTTGGCCCTTCATGAATAAGGACCTGACATCCTGGGCCAAACAGTGCATCGCCTGTCAACGCAGTAAAGTAACTCGGCATACGAACTCACCTATCGGTTCATTTGCCGTTCCTGATGCTCGATTCAC